TCTCTCTCTCTCTCTCTCTCTCTCTCTCTCTCTCTCTCTCTCTCTCCCTCTCCTAGAAATAAATTTTTAAAAAAATTAAAACAAAGTGAACTTTGCCCAGACTCCACCTTTCTCACAGGAAATCTGGGTGCCACCCACACCCATCCCGTTTACTCTGATACCTGTGTTCTCATGTGTGATTTCCGCGTCCGCCCCTTGAGGGCGCTGCTGAACTCCGCACCTGGCCAGGCCCCGCCCCCTGCCCGGGAGGCCACGCCCCCAACCACGTCCAGGAGGCGGGGGCTTATGGGAGTGCTGCGGGGGGGGGGGGCGTCGTGTTGCACATCTTTAGCCCTTGGGTGTGGGCCAAGCCACCGCTGCCTTCTCCCCTCTGCCTACTCCCCCTGCCCTCCCCGCGCCGCGGCCGCAGCGCCGGAGCTTCTGAAACCCCCTCCTCAGGGCACAGGCCCTTCCGTTAGGCACCGTCCCGGGACGTTAGAAGGAGGTCCGGTGACCGGCGTTTGCTGTGCTGGAGCGGGGGGAGGGGGGGAGCCCCGCGTGTCCCGAGTGCTGCGGAATGAGCCGGTCTCCGCCGTGGCGCGCACGCCCCACACCCCCGTGCCCGGCCCCGCTCACCCGCGTGTCTCGGGGGCCCCGCTCCCCGCGACCGTGCTTGTGAGCTACTCACACCTCCGCGCCCGCGGGGCTCCATCACGGAGAAGAAGGAGCGCGGGTCTTCTCCATTTTAGACCTGATTGAAACCAGGCCTCACGGTCTCGCAGACCCACCGAAATACCCACAAACACCCGTCAGAGGTTTGCGGCTCTGGCTGCGGACTCCGTCCCTCCCCGATGTCACCGCCGCGCGGGTGTGCAGGGCGCCTAGGCGGGCGTTCGCGATTGTTCTCCGCGCCTCTCCCGTGCCGCTGTCCCCAGGTACGCGGTCTCCTGCGTCCAGACGGTGCTGTGTGCCTGCTTCATGCCCGTGCTGCAACTGGCAGCCTCCCCGGTGCCGCAGGGGCCCTGCTCTGGCAGCTTCTGGGTTCGCATACACTTCACTCTGTCCTTGACCTTCTGCTTTGCTCAGTGACGTCCTTCTACTGTCCTAACCGGGCAAGCGGTACCTGTTTGTTCGTGTGTCCTATGTGAGGTGTGCACACACGCACGCACGCGCACACACACAGAGTTTTCATGATTACCAACAATGTAATACCCTGAATCATCCGCATGGTCATTTTTTTTTGAATCACTTTGTTGCTGCGATTTTAAGGCTGGTGTTTGTAATTGTTACTATCGTCTAAGACTCGTGTGTGTGTGTGTGTGTGTGTGTGTGTGTGTGTGTGTTCTCTTGAGTGACTCCTGAGCGAAGCAGGTCCCTAAGGTTTTCGGGCCGGGGATCTTTGAGACTGGGGAAAACGTGCCTGCACCTTCAGGAAATTGATGGGCCGCCCGAAAGCCATCCTTGGACGCTGGTAGTCCTTTGCCTCCCTGGGGACAGCAGACTCACCTTTGGAAAAAATGAACCCAGCAACGCACAGTGACCTCTCCCTCATCCCCTGCCTCAGCTCTTGGGGCGCAACTGTCCAGATGAGCAGCCCGGGCCCAGCCGAGTGCAGAGGGAGCTGGAACCCAGGGAGGGAGCCATCGTGAAGCTGGTGGACGCACAGTCACCCCCCACTTGCGGAGTGTCTGTGACCCATGCGCTGCTCCGGGGGGGGTGGGGGTTAAGGACCGGTGGGGACTGGAACAATCCAGGGGAAGTCAGCGCCCTGGCTGGGGGCAGTGGCTGACAGGCAGGTGACACCCTCCTTGAACCGTGGGCCCAGGTTCTACCCCTTCCAGCCCCGGGCACCCCAGCCGCGTCCTGTCCCCAGCCTGGGGTTTACCATAGGGACCTGGCCGCGACTCCAGCCTCCCCTGCTCCACGGAGGAAAGGAACATGTTTCCTTGTTTGCAACACGCTGCTGTGTAGGCAGTGTTTTTACCGGGTGGACCCAACTTGCCAGCACCTCCACGTCTCCAAAAAGCCACCTTCTTTGCTTGGCTGCCCCCTCGCCTCCTGGACCAGGACATAGGAGCCCCACCTTGGGAGGCCCCAGCCCTGTGGGGGCAGCCTGGACCTCTGGGGGTGCCCTGTCGTCCGGGACCAGGCAAACTGGCCGACTCACGTCCAGAGACTCGGCTCTCTGTCGCATCCCAGATGTTTATGGAGGTCATGCCACATGGCCCTGGTTCTGTTCGACTGACATCCAGGCACACTGAGATAGTTGTTTAATCATTAACCATTAGATACTAATTTAGTTGCAGTGGGAATGGATAAACCCAAGTCGGGAAGGCAGGGTTGGCTTTAGAAAGACGGCACTGTCCTCTGAGGCAGTGGTCCGGGTGGGAAGACCAGTGTGGTGTGGGGGCCGGGCCGGCGGAGCTGACCGTGTGAGGCCTTTTGCTAAGAAGGAGGTTGGCCATGCATCCGGGTGGGTAGGGGTTGGGACGGCTCGGCAGATGACCCAAAAACCCACCAAGAAGGGAGCAAAGTGCTTCTATGCCCTTGATC